GTGCTTAATAGGAAATGGGGGAATGGGTTATAGGGACTACTATAAGGAACCTTAAGGGACTATCATAGGGTTTTAGGCTTTAGGGTGTATCCATAGGCCCCATAGTAGAGACTTTTGCGGTTACCTTATAGGATTCTAAATATGAGCCCCGAAAAGGACCTACTATGGGGCCTATGGGTAAATCCTAAACCGAACGCCAATCCTAAGCCCTTAGCCCGAAATTTGAAGCCTCAACCCTAAACCTTATATCCTAAGCTCCGGAAGGATCGTTTCTTCCTCTGCGACATGGAAACTACGGACGAGGCCATGGCTAAGACAAGCAAGGGTTGCCCCCTGAAACCTGTGAAGCCGTTTTTACGGCATTTAGGGCTTTGGGTTTGGATTTTTTTCCGGTTGAGGCTTTTGGGATGCTTCTTGCGGGTTTATCTAAGGGTTAGGTTTGGGTTTAGGGTTTAGGGTTCAGAAATCAAGGGCCCTATGTACTGTTATGGGGGATACTTCCCTAACAGTATCTAGGACATTTTCAGGTGGGTAGCTACCGTTATAGAAGCCGTATCGAAGGTCTATATACCTTATGAAGCCTTACAGAAGCCCTAAAGGCCCTAAACTCCCCACCTGTAGTTTCCTCTAACAGTAATTTCTAGCATAGAAGCCCTACAGTCTACTATGTAGGTACATAGGACCCTTTGGTTCAGAGGAGCTTCCAAGGTCTCCTGAATTTGGCTTCTGACCGATGCGGTTGAGGGTTTAGGGTTTAGGATTAGTTTAGGGTTTAGGGTTTAGGGTTTAGGGTTAGTTTAGGGTTTAGGGTTTAGGGTTCTAGGCCAAAGTCCACGAGACTGTTTCTTTTGAGCCTGCGTTTTGCTAATATAGGGTTTAGGGCGTCTTGCGAATGTAGGGGCGTCAGCAGCTCTTGGGGGGCATATTACGGCCCGTGTAAGGGACTGTTATTTCCCAGTTTGTCAAGCCTTTATTAGTGTACTGTAGCATAGGGACCGTCAGGGAATGCTATGTCCCAACTGTTCAAGCCGCTTTTGTGTTCAAGCTGCTCTTGATGCCTTGCTGCTTCTCCTCATGACATCGTGCACAGAAACTGAATTCTGACTACAAAGGCCCCGCCATTACTGGTTTTGGGCATGGCAATCGACGAAAATTGCAGCGAACCGAAAGAAAAAGCACCCACCCTAGAGCCGCTGGCCGAGAGCACATGCCCCCAGGGTCCTAAGTACCGACATAGCATGGCACAAAGTAGGGTTTCTATCGTAGGAATCAATATTCTTGTTGGGGTAACAGGGTAAGTATCCCCCATATAGGTGCTAAAGACCCTTCGGGATGTACATGTATAGGTATGCGTGCATGTACCATGTACGCATCAATGCACATGTAACTATTCAACTGTGTTGGTTTATTCTTCTCTACCAGTGGAGGGAGGTCTTTCTGCATATGTGAGGTTTGCTGCTTTGAGTGGAGATTTCAGGGTGCGGCTCGGGTCTAGGATAGTTATGCAGGTCAGTATTTGGGAGAGCATACGACTACTTGGCATTTCTCCCGTGTGCACAGAGGAACTTCGTTGGGGACAGGGGGCTTGAACAGATACACTACGTATTCCTACGTTTGCCCAAATGTTGTTTTTTATGGGCCAAGGTACCCTTAACCCGAAACCGCGTGCACTGGTGAACCACAACCTACTCTTGAACACCATTTTGAGGTACAGGGCTGAGGTTTTTGTGAATGTTTGGGGCCCGTATATTTATAGTTATGGAGGGTTTAGGGCGTAGGCTTTGGGAACAACCTCAAAACCCTAAACCTCTAAACCCTAACCCTAAACCCTTCAACCCTATACCTCAAAGCATAGGTTCGGGGTTTAGATAGGAGCCGAATGTTTTCAGGGCACCACCCTGGACGGGTACGCTGTGAACAGCGACTGGGTCGGCCCGCTCAAGTCCGGGAGCAGCCCTGCAGCATTTTGCATGGATTTAGGGTTTGGGGGTGTAGCGGGTGTAGGGTAATTTAGGGTTTGGGGGTGTAGGGTAATTTAGGGTTTAGGGGTTTTAGGTTCAAGGATTTAGGCTTGAGGGGTTTCGGGTTTAGGGCCTAGGGGGTTTAAGCTGTCTGCATCCCGAAAGGTCGGGTATGGGGGCCTTAATCTACCTGTATGGGGGGATACTTATCCAAACCATAAGAGTTATAAGAAACCCTACTTTCCATTGTGTGGTAGTTCGGGTTGTTTGTGATAGTTAGTTGTTTAATGGTTAATAAAGCATCTTAGGGCCTATGCGGGTTCGTTTCCCAGGCCTGTATACTGGTTTAAACAGTTTCTATGGCCTTCATGATGAGAGTACGGCTTCAAGGGTACATCATGGCATAGTCTTCGCAAGTAGCCCCAAGGAATAGCACGGATTCGGACCCACATACTAACTCTCCTTTTGGAGTTGAATTTCATATTGATCATGATATAGCTTGGCTTCGGTCAGGGCCCTTAGTTTACTCTAGGGTTGAGGGTTTATGGTTTAGTGGTAAGTTAACATGCTATCTGCATTATGGGTGTAGGGAGCACCTCTGTCAACAGTTTTTCTGTGCCAGCCAGAGCCAGATCCAGATTAAGTTCAAGTAATGGTACCCCTAAACCCTCAACCGGAAGGTGTATCGATATACATATCCATATCTATATCTATGGCTAGGTCTACATCCATATCTGTACCTATAGCTATTTTGTGTTATATAGTTGTGTATATGTTTATGTACACATGCATCCTCAAGCCATGGTAGAGAAACTTGCAGTGGCCTTCGAGAGGGGGACTCCAGGAGCCTTTGAACGGTCAAATCTAATCGCTGTTTACGGAGCTTGTAATGTAGGGGCCTAAAGAAATTACCTATACTATTTTGGGGGCTCCTTATGGAAATATAGTATATTGGGCCGCAAAACCCCAGTCTGACTATTATTTAGGTCCCTATATTAGGGTTCAGGGTGACGAACCTTCAGAGCTCAGTTTAGGGTTTAGGGTTTTGGGTTTTGGGTTTTTGGGTTTAGGGTTTTAGGGTTTAGGGTTTGGGGTTTAGGGTTTAGGGTTTAGGGTTTAGGTTAGCTACACAGTGACTTCCTGGTCCTGGAGCCCTACGTAAAACAATCTAGTGCTCACCCAGACCCCCAAAAGGATTTAAAAAATAGATCCCCTAAGCGCTAAACCCTAACTACTAAAGGGTACTTTATAGGAACCCCCTGAGGGGATCTATTTTGTAGATCCTTTTGGGGGTCTGGGCATGACCCAGGGACCCGCCATACATGCAACAGGGCCCTCAGGGTGACTCTAAGCGACCAGGATTGGGGGGGATATGTGGTTGGCTAAGGAAAGGGGGCTAAATAGATATTCAGAAAATAACATAATACAGGCCCCAGTTTTCGGCGG